TACTGAAAATGTCATTTTTTAGATGGAGAGAATATAATATTTTTGAAACATAAAGAACAGCTGTTCTGAGTTCTTCATAGAAATATTTCACAAAATGTCTTTTACAGTAATAATATGATTATATCATCATGCAACATGTTTACTCATAAGTTAAATCTAAAGCAACATGTGTCTATTATAGCTAAAATTACTAAAAAGAAAGTTCTAGAACATATCTTAATAATTGACACTAAAACATGCAAATAAAGCATTTTTTTTTTTTTCCTCAGCTATTTTACAGGCCAAATATAAATTCCAGATGCCATTTCGTTATTTTATATAAAGGATATACATGTAATTTAATGTAAGGAGTAGCATATCAATTTGAACTTAATTATCAAATTAAGCTCAAATCGATTATTAATCAAAATGATATATATACATACAGATATCATTGTTTTACTCAAAACATATTGATTTCAAGGTATTTTATTATAATAAGCATCATTTTAGACAAAAATCTATTACTTTTATAGACATATCCTTTAGTATTTCATCTATGAAAAATATATTCTACACACATATAATTACTTAATGAGATATTAGAAGGAAATAATCTGAAACCTTTACAGATACAACCATTGGAATTTTACGTAAGAATATCTTCTATCTTCTACTCTACTCACATAATAACTTGCTGAAATAATACAAGCAAATAACCTGTAACGGTTACAGATATATCTGTTGAGATTTTACATGAGAAAAATATGTTCGTTTTACGTAATTATTTGCTGTAATATTACTAGCAAATAATCTGTAACCATTACAGATATATCGTTTGGGAATTTTACATGAGAAATATGTTCTACTTACATAACTATATGCTGTGATATTACAAGAAAAAGATCTGTAACCATTACAGGCAAAACTCTTGTAATGTTTACAAAAAACACCTGTTTTGTTACTCAAATAACCCATGGCATCATCCCAGTTTCCATGAGTTTTCTTAGTAACCTTACAGATTTTTTTTTACAGTGTAAAGAGAATCTTGTGTTGTAATCCATAATGCCAGTAAGATTGTGCAAGGGTGGAATCACAGGCTGAACAAGCTTACTTAGAGACCTGATCGTTCGATAGCTCATCAAAATACTCAGAGAAGGTTCAAAATACAATGAATATCAAATCGATTGTGCATGTTAGAATTTTCCCATTTTTCATCAAGTGTTGCCGTCAGTCACTCCAAATCCTCGAATCCTTAAGAACGCAAAAGTATTCTCCATCATGGCCTTCCACAATGCTCAATAGATGGCATACTCAAAATGAGTAGATACTGTGTATGTACAGCTAAAAACATAGTGATCTAGGTTGCCAGGAGTATCGCATCAGCAGAGACCATTCTCTTTAATGCTGAATACAGGGTGTTTAAAAATTCATGAGCAAAAATTTAAGGGGTGATAGAAAACATCTAAACAAGCAATTTTTACCATTCAATGCATGGGCGGAGAGCAAGCGATGAACTGCTATACGGGGCTGTGATGGAAAGCATAAAGCTCGACTTTTCTTACACATCGTCATTTCTAGCGTGGATTTCAAAAGACACGTTGATGTACAGAAATCAGGAAAAGCTGTGTTTCTTCATAAAGGATGGTGGTATGGCTGGTAGGATATGGAAGTCAGTGCTGACTTACTTTGTGAGATTATCTGCCGCTTCATTGCTGAAAATCGCAGTACGTGATGGCACCCAAAAAAAGCAGTGGTCTAGTTTTTCTAGGCATAGAAAGAAGGAGTCTGTAGATATTTTTTAACTAACTGCTGGGTTTTTGATTTTCGAATTCATAACTGCAGTGTGACTAGAAACAGAGTCAGAGAATAATGTGGTACGCATTCGCAAACTTGTGACATAAATTATGGCTTGTTTTATGGCGTGTAAACGCTTGATACATAATGTTAAGATCTATGAGTTTCGTTTCCCAGTTGTGTACTTGTCTGTCATTTATATAAGCGCACAAAACAGGGCCTGTTCTTTTGCCATTTTTAGAGTCATCTATTAAAAGAGCTGAGTCCACATAAAAGGCTTGCACCTTAAACTGTAGTTAATATCAAAGAGTTCAGGGTTACGCGGAGGTTCAATATCATTATGTTCATAATCGTTATATGCATAGGTATGTTGCCACAAGGTGGTAATGTACTGGACGTCGAGTTGCAGGCACAAGTCTAACTGGGGTAGACTTGCTAAATACTTCTAAAGCACTCGTTGAAGCTGTTCTGTACACGCGACATATTCTGAATAAGAATAGTCTCTGGCATGTCTGCAGATTATTTATTAATTTCACTGTGGGGTTAAGGCCCATATGGCTGCACTGTGCAACGAAATCCATTGCGCTATTGAATGGCATGGGAACAATTGCTTCTAGAGCTGTGTTTTCCCAAAACTTTCAGAATGTCGCAAACTTTGACAAAAAGTTAGCCACCAGAGAGTTTTGTCTATATCTAGGGTTTATATGTAAGGGTTTATATGTTTCAGAGCCACACAAGAGTCGATGCCATCGGACAGAATTTAGGAGCGGCAAAATATTTATAGAATTTAGAGAAACACAAAGCAGCAAAATTTAGTGATGGAAAAATTTTTAGAATTCAGAGGAGGCACCGAGCAACAGAATTCAAGAGCAGCAAATTTTCTAAAAAATTAAGGCGGCACAGGGAAACAGAATTTGAAACTTGTAGACAGTGCACCGGCTAGCAAAATACCTAGCTGCTGCCCGGGTCTGTTTGAGCTGTTTCGCAATTTAAGTGCCGTTGGATTCAGAATCACAAAAGCTACAATTCTATACAAGAAATAAGCGTCCACAAACGTATTGTCTCAAATGCAAAAAATAAATAAATAATAACAATGCAGTTGCAATTACATGTATTCAGGTATTTACAGAAATGTACAAAATGTCTTACGCTGTTGAAATTTTATTTCCGAACAACAATCACTTCCGCAAAAGCTCATTATACGAGAGTATGCTTTTCGAGCTGAAGTGGATTTAAGTGAGCTTTTGAAGTGTACAAGAATTCCTGAATAATATTCCAGTTTCTGTGGCGAGCAAGTTGGCAGCTTAGCGGTGCCAGGTAATATATCAGTATGCCAAAATTTGAGATCGGAAGAAGGCATGAATGTCTGTAGCTGTTTACTCTTCCTTCTTATGTGTGTAATCTCTTTCAAGCCTGGGCAATGTTTTCGATGATGAGATGGCTAAATGCTGGACTAATTTGGTTCTTCCTGAAGGAAGCTGAAAAAGCAAGTGTCCTATTGAGAGGGGGATATTTTATCAATGCTACTCGGTGTTTTGTGGGTCACAATATATGTTGATCACATTTTTCACTCAGGCCCGGTGGTAAGCTTTTTGCTGTTCAGTTACCTCCCTAAATACTGGGAAATTTGCTGCTCATAAATGCTTCCGCCTGATGTGGCTACATCGGTTACACTGGCTTTGCCCCCGCCCTTGTTCTCATTATAATAAACTTTTATTTAGCTTTTTAAGATTTCTGTCTTTTAATTTACAGCTAAGGTCAAGGAACCTTAAAAACAGGCAAGCGAATAATCGCTTTAGTTTAGTAGACAGAGAACAGAACTCGAGAAGGGTTAAATACTCTTTATTATTCAAAATAAAGTTCACAGAATACTCCTTCTTGGAGTTTTACAATGAAGCCTCCACTCGGGCTTGAACTCAGGAAACTAAAAAATAAAACTTAACGAAAAAGATATAGCCGAAGCTATCAAGATTCTAACAGAGTTGGCCCCTTAACGCTAACTAACGGCGAAGTTATCAAGGGCCTAAAGTACGGCCGAGCGTAATAATAGCTTGTGAGAGAGTATCGCCAAAAGGCTAACACGCGCTGATCAGAATCTCTGGCTCTTTAACGAAGTCAGCAGAACTTCACAGTTAAATACTTCTTCTCCTCATTTGCATTCAACCGCGATTCTGAAAATACATTCTGGCCGGAAATTGTAAGCTGAAATTAAAAGACAGGAAAATAACTTTTAACTAAAAATTAACTGTTAGATAAATTAAGGTAAACCTTACAAGCTAAAGTCTTTTCGGAAAATTTTTCATTCCGTTTATTAGATTGATTGGTGAACAGTTTTACAATGTTTCCTCTTTTTGTTATATTTTATTTGTTATATTTTAATAAAAAATTTCGTAATTTTCCTTTCTTTTAAGAAAATGTTTCGATCCACAATTATGGTTTAATACATTATAGAGTAATATTATTAAACAGGTTAAATTCAATCGGAATCCGGCTCCGGTAATTTTTGAGTGAAACTGAATTTAGAATTTATCTCAGTTTTTTATTAATTGTCATTAATTTAACATAGTTTGTTAATTTTTTATTTAATTTTAATTATTGATTATCAGCCTAAAGGAGCGTTAGCTCAAAAGGGCTATTAATCTCGAAACGGCATTTTGCTTTGAATCACTGAAAGCGCTGTATCACTTTTCGAATTCTTGTCGTCAAATATTATCGCCATGTATTATATTTAAAGAAGTTAAATAATGAGGAATCTGTATGAATGTAAGTATGTTTCTCGCATTGTGAAAAAAACAACGTAGAGATCTATAGTAACAATCTAGAGCCATCAAATTTTGAACAACGTAGTCCTCCACCCGAATATTCAGCACCTGGAAGCCCTAAATTTGGAATTAGTTTTATTGCCTATTTCATTATTTTGTAAAACTTTAACGAATTTAACAAGCTCAGCAATTGCAAAGCGAGTAGTGGCAACACTGTACGGAAAAATACATTTTTAACTCCAGCACGCCAGATTGCTTATCGGAATTTCTGAAGAAATTTATTGTATTTACAGTCTTGTATTTACGCTGTAACAACAACAGGGCAGTAATGAACTTTGAGATAAGTGAATGTCGCTTATAAATCTTAAGTACTTATCTTTGCAAGCGAAAGTATTCTAGAATTCTGTTACAATGCCTGACTGAATCTTTTTGACACAATCCCAACATGTCGCTTATCTTACAGTTATGATTGTAGGTGTTGTTATACAACAAGAATAACACATTCAAAGTCATGTATTGTAAAAGTTGTGAATTTTTTACCTAGCCGCAAGTTAATGAAGAAAGCTTAGTCACTACACATGTGGTCCTAAGGCGCTATGGCGAACATGGAATTTAATATTAAAGAAGATTATAAAAAGAATTTGGATTCGAAAAAGCTTAATGAATTCAGTTTTCAAGGATTGAGGGATGAAAAATTGGAAAATAACTCTGATTTTTGGTTAGCATGCCTTTACGAGTTCTTTACTTTGGGTAAGTTGCAATGACAAGTGATCAGTGAAACAATGGATTAAAGTAGTATATGTAAAGGGTAAACCTGACTAAATAAATTCTGAATCTAAATGATTAAATGAAGAAATTTTATAAATCGTTTATTCTCTAAAATGATTGATGAATTCCAAATTTTTATATTTAGAGTAATTAGAATAAATATAATAATTGCATATGATTTTTAAACGATAATTAAATCTGAATTCAAAGCAAAATTTTCAGATATATTTCATATCTATATAAATAGTTATAGACTATTAATTAATAATTATCAAGCGTATTAAGTGAAAATCAAGTGCAATAAGTATTAATCAAGTGCAAAATAGTAACTTCTAACTAACATAATAATTTCACAAGGTCATGCCTGTTACGGATTTCATTTTTTAGGACAGGAATGTTTGATAATTGGAAACAATACATCTATTTCGAAATGGGATAACAAGATTACCTAACATTTTATAAAATGAAAATTTTTTTTTTAAAATGCGCGTATTAGGCAAAAAAGAAAAGTGAAGTATGTAAGAAATGAAAAAATTAATTTTTCATTTTTAAACAATTTCCTTTTACAGTTGTCTCTTTCTTAATGATATTCCTTTAACGTATGTTTTGCTCAGGTAGTATTTTATTACAAATCGTTTCCTTTTACTTCAAAATAACAGTGTTAATGAAATATTTGATATTTATACACATAACTCATATATCAAAATATTTTCTTGTATTTGCCACTATTATCTAAAGAATTATGGTAAGAAGAGTCTGTACAGAGTCATTGGGCACTTTTGTATGATTGCAAGTGAACAAAATCAATATAAACTTATGATTCAGTATTTATTGATTTCCTACACGAAATATATTTGTAACTGATCGGTGCCTGTACTGGTATTCTTTGAAATCATTTGTTTTGAAATTAAAATAAATCGTCTTAACTTTGTGGTGAAATGGTAAAGCCTGTTGCAAAGATGGAAAACTAAAAAAATATTTTACGAAATCTTTAAAAACAATAAGATTAATATTATTAAATTATTTTTAAGTGTTATAGTATTATTAGGTTGTGCAATCATCGAATAACATCGATGGAGTATTTCTTCGATTTTGATGCAATGCCCCAATTAAATAATATGCTAAATAACTGAAGGAGATCAAAATAATTTTATGCACTATGTTTTTCCTGTAAGTCTTAGAGATTCCGAGAGGATACTGTCTGTACTGGATTTCCGTGGTTTTATCCATACGTAACATGAATTCGAGCTAGTTTACCTTAGAAAATTAGAATCTGCAGTGCCTAATTAGATAAGACAGTTGAATAATAGTAGTTCACCCCATGCTTCATTTTGGCTAACAGGTTGGCTGCATTCAGTTTTCGTGGTTTACCCTTGTCTACCCCCTGGGGTGCAACTGGCTGGATTCTATATCCTGACAGAGTACTCTGGGGGGGAAAGCATTTTGAGCTTGGCGGTTCCAGTATCCCGAAGGAAGACCGTTTATACAGTTGGACCAAGGGAGGAAAGGCAATAGGCCACCGTGCTGGTGGCCACGGCCGGTCCGTGTAATCGCAGGTATTCCATGTAAAACCCTCAGCCGGTGAACTGTCCACGTAGTACTGGCGGGGGCGCTCCAACGACCAGTAAACCTCGAGGCTAATAGGACCACACCTCATGGTGGTCTCAGTTCGCAGGGAGTGGTGACCACTGTTGACCTGTTCAGCCATGAGGAGAGAGAACTTTTAATCCGTCGCCGTAAGTGGTGTAGGCCAGTATCTCCTACATACCGTATGAAGGAGGTACTGTCTAGGCCCGGTCAGGGGTCCAGGCCCGGTAGTGCGACTTTAAATAGATGTGGAGCCGGTAATTCGATTGGCTCGTTACCCTTGTCTAAGGGCCCGTTCAGACGAGGGCGTAAAACGCAAGCAACTTTTCCCGAAACATATCCCTACGAAGACCGCATGCTTCTAAACCCTTCTCTCGCTTCTTTGCAGCAGCACTCTCTTAGCTAACGATGCAACTCTTAGGAAGTCCTCCACAAAAGCATCTACAAGATTTAAAGGCCAAGTAGTCTTTGTGTTCTCTACCATAATCAATTAACTTACAATATAAATTAAGGCTGTGTCTATTAATCGTCATCTTTATCGGTGCAGTGGTTAAAGATGAAGGCTGCGGTATTGTGAAGCCCAGGGTTTGGTTAGGTTTAGGTTTAGTTGATTATGGAAAAGCACATTAGGGCTTTTTTCCATAAAAGAAAGTGTACCTTTCGTGGAGGGCTTTCTAAGGAAACTTGGCTCGTATACACCTTACGCATGGAGAAAACCACGAAAACACGTGTGCAACCAGTCCGTTTCGCCAGAATCGAATTCGAGTCAGAACTACCAGTGTTCAAGCTTACTGAAGAGGTTTTTGTTGCAAGGAAAGTGGAGTGAGAGATCAGAGCAGTTTTCCAGACTGTGCTGCATCAAAACTGGAATGCCTATACCTGTGAATCACTTGGTGAAATTCTGGTGTCTTGACCACTTTTTTCTATTCTGAGAATATTAATTGATGGCTATGTTAACTGGCATAGATTGTATTTGTATCAAGTGTACTTCATTATGCTGAAGGTAAATTCTTGACTGAAGTAGAAAAAATTTTAATATTTGTAAATAACTGTGACTTCACATTATCTAGAATGCTAGTAATCAAGAACTTCGTTTAGCTCGAAAGACAGTTGTTTAATGTTAGCAGCACTTATGTTAAATGTTAGTGATGATAGGTTTTCTTTTGGGCACAATAAGAGGCTTTGCTTTGAAGCAATTTCAGATTTACACTTTCAAGAAAATATACGCATAATATTCCTTTTTTATATTACAAAAAATTCATATTTCGTGTGCTGGTGCATAAAAGCCTTTGGTCATTTTAATACAATTAGAATTGTAACAAGTTATGAATTATTTTAACTTACACAGTGCCCTCCAAAAGTTAAGGAACAGTTATGTTTTTTACGTCTAATTTGTGAATGAAGTAACGTAGAAATAAGAAATTGAGAGGGCATGTTCACTAAACAGTTCTTTAATGAATGCGACATAGAATGTTTCTAAAGTTTAACACAAACATGAATTACAACAAGAAATTGCACCCTTGGCAGAGGAATCCAGTCTTGGAGAAACAGTAGATTGAGGGAAAATGTGGTGATAATATTACGGAAATGAGTTCTAAAAAGGAATGTGTCCATTTCTACCTGCAATAAATTGGCAGCAGCGACGTTTCATGCTATCAGTTAAGTTGTTGATCAGTGAAATGGTAAGCAACACCCAGACACGGAGTAATCCTTGTTCAAGCTCCGCGAACGACCTTGGAAGATGCTGTATCAGATTCTGGTGTGGGATTGAGCTGGTCTCTTCAGCAAGCGGAGCTTGGTGCAGTCTCGCGCATTGTTTTCATCAGAAAAAAACCGGAACCAATAGCAGCGGCATATGGGCGGAAATATGGATCAATGATCTGGTCTCGATATTTCATACTAGCCAACGTTCCTGCATGAAACATATGCAGGTCATTGTGACCACCGAGAGCCAGCCCAAACCATTATACCACCACATCTGTAACTGTGACTTTCCACAATGTAGAATTGATTGCATTTGGTGCGTTGTTCCCTCCAGATCAGCTGACGACCTAAACAACTCTCCATCGTGAACCTGAACTTCCCTATAACGAGAACAGACGCCCAATGTTGACTGGTCCAGGAGACGTGTTCTCTTGCCCAATATAACATAAACGGGCACCTCTATGTCCTCGGGTCAACTGGACACAAACAACTGGTCGTCTCGCACACAGACCTGTATTGTGGAGGCGTCTGCGCACTGTAGTAGCTGAGATTCTGGTTCCTGTTGCCACTAAATGATCTGCCATGAGCTGAGGCACTGTAATGTTGCTTTTCCTTTGGGCCGAAAGAATTAAATAACGGTCTTCCACAGGTGTTGTGACTCTAAGTCTGCCTGGAACATGTTTTCTAGACGCAGAATCCTCGGATTCAAGCTGATTCCATAGTCGGTGATATTGAGACACCGGCTAAGAGAAGCACTGAGACGCCTAGCAGCATCAGCTAGTGACAACCCGATTTCCATCCATATGATCGCTTGCTACCACAACGAATCGGGCAAACGACTTCCACTGGAGATTGATAGACTCTTCTGGTTAATGTCAATGAAATTGTTAATAACAACTGAAAATCAGCACTCGTGAACAAAACTTAAAATTTTTGCATTTTTTTACAACTCCTTATATGTATTTATTTCTATAAAATAGAAGTGATAGCTTTTGTTTTTGCATATACTTTCTTAAATTTCGTTACTATCACGCATCTAAACGGCTAATTTAAATGTTACCGACATTTTTGTAATGGTGAACTTTGGAAACATACTGTTCCTTAACTTTTGGAAAGCAGTGTACTTTGCTTGAGAATGAAAATATTATTTATTTATTTTACAAATGCCAAGCATTAGCGCTTAAGCCATTAGTTCATGGGCTCTCCAGTACTTTTTAACAATGTCCTCATACCGAGAAAGTGCAATACAATTATTAAAATGTTCAAAAATCATAGGCTGATTGGAGTCATACAAAATAAAATTTGGGGAATCCACCACTCCAATTTTGTAGAGGTGGTCTCGCAAACAGTCATTTCCAATCAGACGTCTAAATAAAGCTGCCGCTGTCTTTCTTGAAAAACCGGGAATGAAAATTTCTCTTTCCCCAGAATCCTCCAACTCTTATCTATAGCACGTTGAATCATATCCTGCTCAAGAATTTTCTTAAGAGTCAGGTTAACAAACAATTAAGCCGTATGAAAAGAAAGCGGTCAATTAATGCGCTGCGTTATCAAAGTTCCTTTCTTAGCCAAAGTGTCAGCGTTTTCATTTCCCATAATTCCACAGTGTGCTGTAATCCATTGGAAAGAAATTCTGTGTGCAAAGGCCTACGTCTAAGATTCGTTGGGAACTATTTTGATTATTCAGAAAAGCTCGAAACGCTCTTCTGGAATCTGACAGTATGACTACCTTTACAAAAGAGTGGCTACGAATAGACAGTTATTGAATAGTCACAGCAATAGCTTCAATTTTCCCATCAAAGGAAGTAATGAAAATATTTATTAAATATTTAGCTCATTTTTCGATTAGTCATTTTTATGCTTTCCCTTTTGTATTCTGATATTACTTTAATTTCCTTGAAGGTAAAAATCATACGAAGAGTAAAACTAGTGTGTTGTACATGGTACCTATATGCTGGATATTAGTAGCGACATAACTTTCCAGGGGGTTTAAGAACTCCAAATTTATTTCACGTTAATCGTTAATTCAACATAATTACTCATATTAGTTATGTTACTTTGAATATGGCATGATAGACAGAGGAAAGATCTTTTTGCGTTGGAGATCGTTCAGAAGTTCTATTGGCAAGAGATCCCGTTATTAAGAGTTTGTAGTTGATCATTGGATTGATGGCATTTCTATTTGTAAATCAAGAATAAAGATGGTTATATGAAATTAATATGCAGAGTTTTCGTCTACCTCAAAACAATAACGATGAGTTTGCATTTCATGCAGTCTTCTCAGATTTCAATGTGGACCAAAAGCAAAACATTTCTAAAGAGCTGTTCGTTATCATGCTTCCTTTATTGGAATGTAGCTGACGATCTTCCTGTATCCTCGCGCTCAAATATCGGCACGAAACTCAGTGACTAATAATGGAGTCGGATAAAAGGTATGATGAATCAAGGTTATAGCTATTTCCCGCTAAAGGACATCTTTAAAAGTAAAGATCTGACTTTGTGGCATGTACTCACAGTAGAGACTGTTTGAATATCAGTACTAAGCTCAAGAAGTTCAGCAGTATCTACAAAGCACCAAAACGTGTTTGCACAATACTGAGTTGCAAACCAGTTGACCAGTGATAGATTTTCTATTGACTTCTGGGAAGTGCTGTCAGAGGCTGTCATGGTATTCATACAGGTGGTAATTGAGGCTATAATGGAGATTCTTCAGCGATGAGTCTCGCTTCTGTCTTGGAAACAGTGGCGGTTTCAGAAGGTTGGTCTGGGGATCACACGGCCAATGACAGGTCATATCGGCGCTGCTTTTGGAATACTGGAAGTAGTGCAGCATAACAGACATATAAGACAGCAAATAGTACACGGACATCTCTAGTCTTTCTTCTTATTGGCTGACATCTCCCATTCTGATCGTGTAGCTAGTGATGCGATGTTTCTGCAAAGTGTTGCAAGGACAGTTTTCCAGCTTGATAAACGTTAGGCCTCATGTTGTTCATGCTGTTGTGAAAAGTCTGAAAGGTGTTTACGTGTTAACTTGGCTTATCACATCTCATTGTTTGTTTTCCATCGATGACATCTGGAAAATAATTAGTCGGCTACTTCATAAGAATCTGCCAATCCAGAGGAAATCTGCCAATTCAGAGGAAGAGCTTTACGTCAGAACTTTTATTTGAATAATGTTTAATGTCTGATTAATGAATGATAGCCCGCCAAGAAATGTAATGTACATTATGTAGGAAGGTTTAGATTAACAGTTGTGGCTGCACCAAAATGCAGCCAGAACCATGGGTACTGGTTAACTGCCTGTATTTCCGGGCATGGAATAAATTACACCGCATTATTGTATTCCATGCGGAATAAACTGAGATGATTTGAATATTTTGTTTCCAAATTTGATCATTTGTATAACTTGTCTAATTCATCCTGCGAATTTCAAATTCCTTTCCTTTCTTGATACTTATAATTTCAATGTTTAGCAGTGTACTTATATGTTTATGTCTATGGTATTTTTGCAATTAATTGCATTATCTTTCTTCTGTTGTTATGCTGCAAAGAAGATTATCGATTGTTGGCCACTCGTATGATTTCAATGCAAAATTTGCAAGTAATTCCTATACTGCCACTGTTCTTCAGTGCAGAATACTCAGTAAATCAATTCCTTTTGATATGCGGGAGTTCACTATTCTTTTACCAAATTAGCTTATTCTGCATTTTATTTTTAAAGAAAATGGCAAATTACGTTAGATTCTTCTTATTATTTTTAATTAAAGATCCAGACAATGTGATTAACATAATAGAATAAAAATATATGATGAAAGCCAGATGAAATTATAACTCAAAACGTCCACCAATATTCTCATTTTTATCTGATGATAAATTCATTTGGACTTACTGACTCATTGCAGCTTGAATTAAAAGAAAAAAAAAAAAAAAAAAGAGGATGCTGCATATGAACTCAAATTCTGAAATAAACGATTTAGTATACAAGAATTGAATTTATTTTTGCAGAAGAATTTCACGGAGAAAGAATGCTAGATCTCGGCAGCGGACCAAGCGTCCATAACGTGGCAACGGCATGTGCCTATGTTCCTAACGTTATTCTTAGTGATTTCTCAGAAATCAACTGTGAACGTCTTCGAAAATGGTTGAGAAATGATCCTGATTGCATCGACTGTTCACTTTATTTGCAAAAAGTTGCGAAAGCTGAAAAACGGAAGTAAGTATGAGTATTGTATATATTTTGTATGCATTATATTCAAAAGGTACCTTGAAATGTGATTATGTTATAGTCCTGGCAATTTCTTACTACTAATAAGTTGATAACCAGTGGTCGAAAGCGCACGCCACAAAAGTCCCCACTGTTATAATTGTCCACGCCAAGAAATGCCAACACGGATGAAAGCACGAAAAGATAAAAGCTTACATTGATATAAACATACACTGATAAAAGCCCACATGAATAAAAGGATACATGATTTTTTTTATCAATATAAACTCATGATCGTAATTATAATAAATAGCGTATCTGAGTCCAATTTTTCATGTATAAAAAATACGTGTTTTTATTTTTTATCACTGCCATATTTGTTTCTTTTATTAGACCTAAACAAACATTTCTACTTGTGGCTAGCTAGTAGCTAATTATCGATGATAAAACTGAAAATTGTACTTATTTATTTTATTTTATTAATTTATTTTGTGTGTGTATGTGTGTGTGAAAATAAAAAAAATATCACTATGCAGTTCCACAAAAACTGTTTTTAATGTTGCATGGCTAAGATTAATGATATGCATGTTTCAATATTAAAAAATGGGAGAGATATTATTTATTCAAAGAACTGAATAAATTAGTTTTATAGTAATAACGGAATGATTTTTAAGTCTCACTCAAATGTAAAGCAATATAATGAAGACATAGGTACGCTCACTAAAATAAGTATCTCCTTTCCTTAATTGTTGCTAATATAAATAATGGGAATATTAATGTCTTCTACTAGGCATATAATGGTCCGTCAGTATAACACGTCAGTGTGGTTTTATATCAATGGGGGCTTTCAACAATAAGCTTTTATCCCGTCACCAAGTAGTTAGAGCAATTATTGGCAGATACGTTTGATATCAGAAAGAACGTCGCCATTTTTCTAGAAAAATTTCTAAATTTTTTGTCACGTATGCTGCAATAAGTCAGCATTTAATCAGTATTTATTAAGCTGCTGCTAATAGCATATTGCCAGTTCAAGTGAGATGTGATCTTTAATTTATTTTCGAGTTATAAAAATATTTTTTTTTTTCTGTTAACTAAACTAAGCATTTTAATATACTTTTGGATGGTAAGTACAATCATTCAAAATATTTGCTGTTCGGACTGCTGTTTTTATGCAACAGAATTGTTATTTGCATACAAAATATTCATTTATTCTGAACATAAGTTAATTATGACTATTTATGAATAAAAATTAATAAACAGAAAATATTTCTAAAGTTGTGTGTTAAGTACTTCGGCTTTAGAAATTTCTTAGCAATTTTTCTATCTGTAAACTAAAATTTGCATTTTCCTGTGCTTTATAAAAGTAATAAATTGGAAAATTACGCAGACAGATGTTGAAGCATACATAAAAGATTCATAATGGAGAACAAGTTTGACAATCGGCTTGGATTTAAATATGAATTTTTATTTTAATTTAACAATTACGGTCACAAATAACTTAGCATGCTAATCATACTCGTTCCAGAACATTTGCATTGTTATTGCTACATGTAGTTGCGATAACGAGAGAGCAGCGCAGTAGTAGTCTAGTTAGGTCAAGAAGCAGAAGCGAATTATGGTAGCAGCAAAATAAAAGAAACAAAATATTAAAAAATAAAAAAAAAATCTGAAAAGCTTCAGATTTTAAATTACTTCCAAAGGCGCGTTTTTTCCAACATTTTGTGTGTTACCTTTATTTATAAAATATCATGTTCTCCATACTTAAACTATAAAATTCAATTTAAGAGCAATATCGCAAAATAATTTTAAAGTGAGCATATCTTTAGAATTTCCGATACACAGTGTCGCGCGCTGAAGACAAAAATGCTTTTTCTGTACAACGTTGCCATTGCTCGCTTTGAAATCCTTGAGTTTGTTAATCAAAAATTCGTTAAAGTTTTATAAAATATGAAATCGATAATAAAAAAAATTGCACATTTCAAATTTGGCCTTCCAGATGCCCATATTCGCAGTAAGATTACGTTATTCAAAATTTGATGGCTCTAGATACCGTTGTTTTATCAGAATGCGAGAAACATACGTGCAGTTAGGCACGTATGTTTCTCGCATTTTATTTAGTTAGTATTTAGGCAGTTTCTTCATTATTTGATATCTTTAAATATAATACAGGGCGATAATATTCGGTGGCAGCAATTTGAAAAGTGAAACAACGCTTGTGGTGAATAAATGCAAAATGCTAAAGCGAAATTAATAGCCTTTCTGGGCTAACGCCTAATAATATGTAAAATATAAATAATAAAATTTTGAACCAAAGCAATTTTTTAAATAATTGCAAAATATAAATTTGGTTATAATATTTTTTAAAATGAATGCAATTTTTAGACTGCTATTAAGATTTGAGTTCAATTTGGAAAAAGTTCTCGATTCTTAAAAGTAATTCTTAAAGTCCTATTAATTATCAACATTTCAGTCCAATTTTAAAACGTTCTGGTTTGTGGAAAGTCCACAAGTTAATCATGATTCTTCAGCGAAGAGTTTTCAACACTTTCGCAAAGTATCGCAAATATAAAAATTTATACACCCATTACTTATTCTGAATAATCATAGCAAATCTCAAAATTCTATAACACTAATTTTCTCATTTACAATTTAAATTTTGATATCATGAATATTATAATATTCTTACTCAATTTATGGTTTCTTTGTTTTTATTTCATTTCTAATTCCTTTATCGTACTCAAAACTGGTAAGCCTGAAGTACTTTAGAATTAACATTTCTCTAACAGTATATATCCACATTAATTGATTGAAGCATTATTGCTTCAGTGATTAAAGGGATGCTAGGATGTTACTCGAAAGGCCTCTTTTCGTTACATAAAATAACTTCCTTCTGAGAACTGCACTAAAATATTTTATAAGAAGAAAACAAGTGAAAAGCAATAATTCTGTATTTCAAAAAAGTTATACTCGAAAAATAGGTAATCAAAATTCTAACCTAACTTTTCAATTTTTAGCTTTTCATATTAATTTGAGTATTTCCTCTTTCTATTCTAAAATGCAGAATGCGATGATAATTAGACATTCTTATAAATCTACCACGTAAGATCCTTTTGCTTTTAACAAGTTTTTCCGCTTAATACGTCTTTCCACTTAGGTTCTTACGTGGCCCTAAGAAAACTTCTTAACAGAATTATATAGATGTAAATTTTACCACCTAAGAAAATAAATAATATAGCTTGTATTTTTGCTGTTAATAATATAATTAATTACCTAATTTTGATTATTTTTTTTGTATATTACTTTTTAGCGATGTAGAGGAAGCCTGCAAAGAAATCGAGCAACGAATTCGATCCACCGTCAAGGACGTTATTCCGTGTGATGTGCTGGACGATCAGGTAATCCCAGAGGAATATAGTAAATCACGTTTTGATCTCATACTGACGTCACTCACTTTCGAATGTGCCGCAGTGAGCTGGGATTCATACTCGAAAATTCTTGGACGAGTGAATCATCTTTTGCGACCTGGGGGGAAGCTGCTGATGTTGGGGGCAACGGGATGCTCATACTGGCAGGTGGGAGATAATTGGTTCTTCTGTTTGCCTATGGAAGAGACGGATATACAGAGAGCACTACAGATCAATGGATTTGGTGATATTCGCTGGAAGCTCCTAGAAGAGCCAGATGACGAACTAGTTTTTAATTGCAAGAAGCTGTATTTTGTAGTTAGCACAAAACTCTGAAACTTTTATTTACATTTCAGTGCTAATTTAGTTTAAATATAAGCAGGGTAAAAGAATTTGTTTTAAGTTAATCACTTTATTCCTAATAAATTCTTGGATTCCAAATGAATTCTCTGGAGTCATACTTAATAGTGGAAAAAATAGTAATGGTACATACATATTAACGCAATCGCATTCATAGAAGTCGCCAAATTTTCTGAATGCACCAAATCTGGTTACCATGCGCATATCATTTCTTTGGGCAATCAGACACGTAAGAATGTCAGTTTTCAACAAGCAACGTCTCCATTTACATATGTTTTTTTATTAAATGTACTCCGAATTCTAAACCTTTTTATAAACAAATTGTGATACTTGTTGTCTTAAATTCCTTTTAAAAACATGCATTTGTGAGATATGCCAGCAATGGAAGAAACTGTGGTCAACATTCTATAGGAATACATTTTATGGCAGAATCATTAAAGGAAACAAGTACTTTGAAACAATTCTCAAACTAGTCACCACAGAATTTTTAACGAAACAAAAACAAAAATCCGCTTGTAAATACACTTATTAATTGATTTTCCTGTTAAAATCAGTTAAATAAGATTTTAGTCGAAATCCTGCCAAAAAAGCCGACGGAGACAGTCCAGGAATTCGCCAGAGATGTTGAAAGGCTTTCGCCATTGCAGACTGCTTAACAGAACAAGGGAAATCTTGTCCGAGATCCTGAGATAGGGAAAGCCCTGCGAATGGCGGACATTCACGATGGCTTCCGAGTACTTCATCGATGGCATCCGAGATCCTGAGATAGAGAAAGCCCTGCGAATCCGAGAATGGATGTTAAAGATCTAAAGAGAGCTTTAATATACGCCATGAAAATTGAGGCAGCCCAGCAAGCGACACGAAGAGACCGCCACATAGTCAGAGCTGCTCATGTCCAGGAGCCAATGGATGAACTGACTGCTCGTCTAGACCAGCATTTCTTAAACTGTGGGTCGTGACTCCCAGGGGAGTCGCAGGACCTGCAGCAGAGGGTCGCCAAAAATTTAGCAGTTTTGATATATCTTTAACTTATTATAATACTTTTACAATTACCAAATATTTTTACACGATGTATCTGAAAATAGATGAAGATAAAACAATAAAGACAAAGAAAAAAGCAAGATGTTTCGACGGATTCTTTTTATAATAGAAACGTTCCTTTTACTTGCTTTGCACATGACACTGTCCTTTTGCCTGTTACTTATTTAAAATTTTCACATCGTTCTATGTCTTAAAATTAGAAATAAAAAGTTACTGACCCTAAAACTGCAATAGTATATTACAGTGCAAGTGAAAAAATTGACAGTTTCACACACGCGTGTGTCAGATTTGTACAATGCTTACTCAATGCTTTGTGCAATAATCACCTAATTTTCGTAAATATTCCTGGGACCTGGGGGTTGCGAAAAGATTTCAGTATTAAAGAGGGGTCGCGTCTGAAAAACGTTTAAGAAAAACTGGTCTAGACGATTTAAATAGGCAAGTCAATGCCTTGAGGCGGAATAAGAGTAGCAACTAACCCTTACTAAAGTGCTAGAATCGCAGTGGGGAAGGCCACGTACGAAGGTGACTGCAGAGATTCTTAAGACCGGGAATAAAAACCGTTCCTAGTAAGGAGGAGGGAAATAATTAATGGCCATCTTGTGGGGCGGAGGTTACCAGATACTGAAAAGCTCTATTTTAAAGCGTTTCAGATTTCTGCATTGAGTGACGACAGTAATGGACTCATTATCTTGGTACATATAAATGAAGTTCCTTGCAGTATGAACTTCGATACAGGAGGCAATGTTACCCTCATCCGAAAAGACATCCCTTCGACATTCTGGGACCTCTGTCGCGATTTACTGATGGCAACAAATACATCCTTCTCGTCACTGATTACTTTACAAAGTGGCCTGAAGCGTATCCAAACTCTAATCAAGAGGCTGTCACGGTAACAGAGGTAATGATGCAGCATTGGATTTGCCAGGTTTAAAGTGCCTCTTCAGTTACATTCCGATCACAAAAAGAATTTTATCTCGTTTGTAATTAAAGAACTCTGTAGAGTACTTGACATAGACAAAACCCAAATGACCCCTTTACATCCGCAGTTAGATGTCTTGGTAGAGAGGTTTAATCGAAATATCTTGTACAAACTCTCGCTGATACTTTCTAGAAACCAAACAGGATTGGGGCTGCCAGAAGTTATGTCTGTTCTTATTGGCCTCTCACAGTGCTGTCCACGAGATTCCCTGCTATTCCCTATTTCAGATGCTCTTCAGATGTGACCTTTGTATGCCTTGTGATCTGTTGTTTGGTCGCCCTCAGGATGTCCAGAGTCACAGTTTGAAGGGATGCTCAGTTTTGAACGAGAAGGCGTCAACTTGACGACAGAGAAGACGAACGAGAGCTACATCATATTCGCTTGAACGAAGGTGACAAGGTGTGGTTATGGAATTCAATTCGACAGAAAGGATTTTCTCCTAAACTACAGTCACTTTGGGGCGATCCTTACGCAGTCCTAAACAGGCTCGACGTCATAGTTTGGATACGTCATAGCTCGACGTCATAGTATGGTCATCAAATTCTAAGCCTAAAGTTGTTCATTATGACAGGCTAGACCCCTAATTTTGTTAAGTTTTTAAAATTTGGTTTTCTTTCGGTTTCTCTTTGATCAGTCTGATATGCATCCTAGTTAGTTTATTTAATAGAAAAATTCCAAAATTTTTCAGGACAAGTGCACATCGTCACCTTCTCAAGCATAAGAAAATGATATACAGGGTGTCTCAAAAGGTCGTTGCCAAACTTAACATGCTGTCATACCATGACAAACAAGATTTACATAGGAGCTTGAGTCCGAAAGTGCGAATGGCGACCGTTAGAGGTCAATGTTTGCATGGCTATGGGAGAGTGGGAAGTGCGATCATTTCAGGCAGGACGTTGCAGGAGAAGGATGAATCGGTTTGCTCAGTTCTTTATGGACATTTTGTGGAAAGAGTGTTGCTGAATCTGATGGTTGACTTTCCAGCAGCTACAAGCTGAAACATCTGGTTTCAGCATGATGGAGCGCCTGAACATTTTAATAGCGCTATGTGGGAATTTCTTGATGGGATATATCTTGATCGCTCGATTAGCAGAGGCGGACCAGTCACATGGCTACTTCGATCTCCCTCCCGGACTTCCCCAGGTTTATGCTTGTGGGGATACATGATGTTCATGGTGTATGAGATGACCATAACATGGATCTCACGTGACACACCAGGATCGCACGTGACACACCTGCTCATTTCAAATGTGTCCGTGAATCCATGCTTCGAAGTTGTGAATCATGCAATTTGGCAAATGGGGAGAATTTAGAAAATCTTCTATGATTTAACCATGTTCATTAATAAATATCATTTATTAATACCTCTTTCGACATCCTTTCTTTCTTCCTCTCTACGCTTGCGAACATTGCCCTCTAAAAGTCGCTGTGAAGTTGAACCTCTACCTGATTATTATCTTTATTTTGATGTAACTTAATAAATCGCGATTGGCAACAGTTTTGACATCTACGCTTTCGAGTTTGTTCTATATTTTTACTTTTCGTTTTAAGTAATGAGAATAATGACTTTTTGAGATGTTTTTCATGAGTATTTAAAAACTGATGAGTAATATTTTATGCCATTTATGTTCTGAGTATTACTTTGAGGTGTCAAAGCTAAAACTAACACTTAATTAGACTTGTAAATAGAATCGTAATATTAAACTGTTTGTGTTGTGACGAGATGTCTTTCATTGGATAATTGATTGTATACTCATTTTCCATCATAATTCTTCTGATATCGAAGATAAAACGGGACATCTGGCGTCCGCGACAGGATAACGGCTGCATTATTATGAGTGAGTGAAAAAATATTTTTATATTTTCTTTTATTATTTGTGCATTATGGATATTGTTTTGAAAGATAGAAAGCAACTTAGAAGGTTGTTTACTCGAGCATGTAATGCTTTTGATGAGGAAGAAATCAAATTAAATCGTGCTGATAAAATTAATAAATTAAAGCTAATTGAAGAGAAAGCTTTATTAATGATAGCATGTGAAGAGATATATAAACATTTGTTGTATTCTGAAAATACTTCCGATACCGAAATAGAGAAAGCGGTAGATGAGTCAGAAATGTATATTGATCGATGGAGATCTTTAAAACAGAAGCTAGAAACACCATAGTGAGTAAACAATTGTCTCTAAAAAATGAAAATTTGAACATTGTTTCGCAGCCGAACACTTTATTACGTTATCCCAAAAATAAAATTACCTACTTTTGACGGTAGTGTACGAAATTGGCTATACTTTTGGGGTCAGTTTAAAAAATTGATGAGGACATTAATATCGATTTTCACGATAAATTTTCGTATTTATCTCAAGCAATGGAAAAAGGCAGACCTGCTGAAGAATTAATTAAGAGCTATCCCCCAGGGGGTAATAGTTACGAAAAAGCTTTAAAACAGCTGAAAATGCGTTTCTGCAGAGAGGAACTATTGATTCAGGTATATGTCAGAGACTTATTAGTATTAGTTCTTCAAAAACAGAAGACTTCTAAAAATTCATTAAGAAAATTGTTCGATCAACTTGAGAGTAAACTGCGATCACTTTAATTATTAGGTGTTACTAGGGAAAAATATGCTGCAATGCTTTTTCCACTAGTTGAATCATCATTACCCGAAGAAACTCTTGTTGCTTGGCAGCGCTATAGATCTGCTCATCGTAGAATTCGAGAAGTGAATTTAGATGATTCAGACGAAAGTAAAACTATAATTGAGAAAAGTGATTTAGAATGCATTTTAGAATTTTTACAAGCCGAAGTCGAAGCTGAAGAACACATTTTTTTAGACTCCCAAAGTTTCAACACATCGAAACCAAAAGCAGAAGTAAAACATAATCTTTCCTATGAGAAAAAGGTAATAGAGAACAAATGTAAGAGTAGAAAGTTTTCAAAATATACCCTAGTGCAACAGACCTTCTAACTTCATCTCAAGTATCAAAACAGTGTATTCTGTTCTAATTCACATTTTTCTGGAGACTGTCTAAAAGTAAGAAAAATACCTTTAAGGCAGAGGGTGTCA